TGCATCTCGGGGTCCCTTCGCAATGACCGGAACACAAAGAAGCCTAGCCCTAGACTTCAAACCCCAGCAGACTCTGTTGTCTGGCTGGCGTAAGCCCGAAAACCCCCTAAGCCCTACACCCTCAACCAGTTTAGAGGAAAAGGCCCTAGGCCATTTTCACCTTCCTCCACCTTCTCCTGGAGTCTAAACACGAAGCGCCAAAACCCTCCGGCCCGGACAAACGCCAGCCCCTGAACCCTTTACTTGAAGGTTCATGGGTAGGTATAAGTAGGGTTAACCTGTATAATAACCTCAATGAATGTACTTATCACCGTACTTGTCACAACCACGAACCTTCAAGTAGTCCCGAAGGCCCCAAAACTTCCCCCAAACCTCGCACACCTCTAAACCCTACAGCCCACACCTTCAAACCTTCGATCCGACAACCAGGTTTAGGGCTTCAGGACCCTAAGCCCCATAGACCTGAACCAGCCCCCTTGCCAGGCCACGCGGCTGCTTCGGCAGTGCTTCGGCGGGCGGCCCCGACGACCTTTGGGTTTAGGGTTTCGGGTTTAGGGTAAGTAAGACCCTCTTTGGAAACCTTCATTTCGCTGGACCTTACAAAGCACGCCTTCAACACTGTTTGGGCTTAATGTGGGGGGATTGTTCGAAACTAGGACCCCTGATTTCGGCACACTTTCTGGCTGCAACTTATTTGACGATGCCGGGTTTAGGATTGTAAAGCGAAGCCCTGTTAAGGGAGCCTGTGCTAGTCTGTGCACTCAAGGCAAAAGCCCTGAAAGGCGAAAGCTCGGCAGCCTAAGCCCCAAACTACCCCAAAATCTAAACCCCTACCCAAAACCTGAACATAACCCCGCAGACCTTTTCGCCTTTCCCCCACACCCCAAACCCTAACCCCCAAACCCCAAAAACGCAATCCTACCCCCCAAACCCCAAATTCTCCGAATCCCCAAGTGGCATGATCGAATTTTTGCCAGTCCCGGCCGCTCGGTACTGCTCTGTGTCGCTGGCGGCAGGGGCCCTGGTTTTTTTTTCCAGCGAGAGTGGAAACTGCAGAAGAAGCATAGTTTGTGAATATGTGCTGTTCAACAAACCAAAAACATCTGAAGTGTCACCCTCCGCATTGAGTGAAGTTTCTGAGTCCGTGTGAGCGCACGTGCTTGAAAGTTGTTTGGCAGCTCCCGCTCAGAAGCCAGCAGGTCAATCCAATGCTGAAGTGCTATCTTGAGAAGTGGAGACTTCCACCGCTCACAGACCAGAACCAAGCGACAGTGGCAGCATAGCATAGCAGAGCATCGCCTAGCCTGACCTCTGCATGGCGCAGCATGGCATAGCATAGCATAGCATAGCATGATGAAGCCCATGACCTTGGTAAAGGTTGTGCCGGAGGCGGATCCTCGCGTCCCCCTCGACAATCCCGGCCAATTTTGTTCGACAGGATCTTCGTTTGGGCAAGAGATGGCTCTGGAGCCGGACATTGATGTGGAGACCGTCTCAGATGTGAGAACTTTTCTGAGAACACATTTGCTGGAGAAGCCTGGGGCTCACTTGGAGCATGCCCACTGGAAGCTTGGCAACTGGGTGCTGCATGTGTCTTGGAGCCCAGATGGCCATACAGTGGCCACTGCATCCTTGGACTGCACCTGCCGCATCTATGACCTGGACACCAAGCAGGAAGTGGCCAACTGGCCACTGCTTCTGACGACAACTCCTGCCGCATTTATGACATGGACTCCAAGCGGGTAGAGGTCAAGTGGATGCATGGTGGCCCGGTGCGGCATGTTTCTTGGAGTCCTGATGGCCATAAAGTGGCCACGTGTTCCAGAGACCACACCTGTCGCATCTACGACGTGGACTCCAAGAAGGAGGTGGCCAACTGGAAGCATGGCGACGTAGTGTGGCATGTCTCTTGGAGTCCGAATGGTCGTAAAGTGGCCACGGCGTCCGAGGACCACACCTGCCGCATCTATGACGCGGACTCCAAGGAGGAGGTGGCCAATTGGAATCATGGCACAGATGTATGGCATGTCTCTTGGAGGCCTGACGGCCGTAAGGTGGCCACGTGTTCCAGAGACCACACCTGCCGCATCCATGACGTGAACTCCGAGAAGGAAGATGCCGAGGCCATCTTGAAACATGGCGGAGATGTATGCCATGTCTCTTGGAGTCCTGATGGCCATAAAGTGGCCACCTGTTCCAGAGACCACACCTTGCGCATCTATGACGTGGACTCCGGTAAGGAAGAGGCCGAGGCCATCGACGGAGATGTATGCCACGTTTCTTGGAGTCCTGATGGCCATCACGTGTGCACTGCCTCCGAGGACCGCACGTGCCGCATCTATGACGTGGACTCCAAGAAGGAAGAGGCCGAGGTCATCTGGAAACATGCCAGCGCAGTACGCCACGTCGCTTGGAGTCCGGATGGCCGCAAAGTTGCCACTGCTTCTAGCGACAACACCTGCCGCATTTATCGTGTCAACTCCAAGAAGGCAGAGGCCGTCTTGACACATGGCAACACGGTACGCCACGTCTCTTGGAGTCCGGATGGCCGCAAAGTTTCCACCGCTTCCAGCGACTACACTTGCTGCATGTATGATGCGGTCTCGAAGCAGCCAGAGGCCAAGTGGGAACATGGCAGCGAGGTATGCCACACCTCTTGGAGTCCGGATGGCCGCAAAGTGGCCACTGCTTCATTTGACTACACATGCCGCATCTATGACGTTACCTCCAAGCAGGAAGAGGCTAGCTGGAAACATGGCAGCATAGTTTGGCACGTCTCTTGGAGTCCGGATGGTCGTAAAGTGGCCGTTGCCTCCAAAGACCACACCTGCCGCATCTATGACCTGAACTCCAAGCAGGAAGAGGCCAAATTAGAGCATGGTGCTGAGGTGGGATCTCTACTCGCTTTGACTTTTTCTTTGTGTCTTGCTTGTGACTTGCTTTAAGAGCTTCGTGTGGCTGCATTTCGCTTGTGACTTTTTTGCCACAATCCACACTGCAAATAACAGCGTTGTGCTAGCACGTCCATCATTATTGTTGTTGGTTCTCGTTTTTGTCTTTGTGTTTGCTTTTTTCTTCGGGTCTTTCTGTTGTTGGCTCCCTTCTTCGTGAATGGAAGGATTCTTCAGTGTACGTCGACCTGTTTGTCTTTACGGTGTCCTTCCTGTACTCATGTCTGTCCTTCTTTCTGCGCATTGTTTCTTCATGTCGTGGTTAATTTGTGTTGTTCTTTCCTTATTATGTGTTGTTTGTTTTTCTCTTTCTGTCTCTCTGTCATTCGTTGTTTCTTTCTGTCTTTCTTTTCTTTTCCCCTCCCCCGCTGCAGATTCCGTTGTTAGGGACCAACCAGCCACCCCCCTCCCCCCCACCCACCGCCTTTCCTCCCCACGATGGTTAGCATCAACCCCGTCCCCCGCCCCCACACCCACCACCTTTCCTCCCCACCCGCCGTTTCACCACACTGTTGTCCCTAAAATCAAGACACACTTGTCACCTGTGACTACGAAAATAGTCACAAGTAAATCACTAAACACCAAACAGGCGTAAGTGAGTTTCGAGCAGGAGCTGCGTTTTTTTGGAATTGTGAGAAAAAAGAAAGTCACAAGTGAGAAGATTCAAGATCAAGTGAGTGGTTGGCCCTGAGGTGCACCACGTCTCTTGGAGTCCGGATGGCCGTACAGTGGCCACTGCTTCCGGAGAAAGCGTGCGACTTTTCGATTATCAACTATGTTGACCACATCAAGATGACCGCCCTTGTGGACAAGGACGACGAGCTACCTCTAGTTGAGCGACCGCAGGAAGATGCAATCGCGGATGCAGGATTTGACATCTTACTCCAACCAGATGCTGTGGGCAAGAGCCCTCTTGATATCGCCGTGGAGTCGGGAGACGCGATATGGATTTCAAGCTTTCTGACGACAAGACTTTTTGATGCCCTCCAGGAAGAAGATTACTCGACGAGTTGCGGCATGTTGGCTTCTGCAAGCCGGGCGCCCATGTACCTCCTGAAGCATGAGAAGCTCGGCAGCTTGCAAGATTTGACGTTCAGCGAGCTGCTGGCGCGCTTCTCACGCGCGGTGCCGAAGCCGCCAAACTCAAACTTTGCCGAGCCTCCAGCAACAGCTGGTGCAACCCTGCAACTGTGCACCCTACAGAGCCCGAGTTGCTACTTCCCCACGGGATGGTCGGATCAGAAGAAACTGGCTGTATCCACCTTTGCGGTGAAGATTGCATGTGAAGTTCTTGTCATGGAAGGTGTCCTTTCAAGAGAACATGACTTTTTGGCACGTCTCTGCTTGACGAGCATTCCAGACGCAACTGAGGTTTTCTCGACCTCAGCAGTTGTTGCTCTGATCCGCCACAGGTGGAATGAGTCAAGCTTTTTTTCTACTTTGAGTTCGTGTGTTCCAGACGTTCTTCACCTTTGCAACATTGCAAGAGGCCCCTGTTTGCACACAGACGAGCCTACATGACTTGCATGCCAATGTCACCGCGGATAATTTCTCGGGGGGAGATAGAAACAACTCTGACTCAGATGGTTGTGTTGAAGCCGAGAACTGGCTGAAATGGATCATCGCTGTTCAAGCATGTTGCATCGCTATTCGTGAGACCACGGAAAAAGTCCGATCACCATCCTGGAGGCGATGGAAGTGGCTGAAAGAAGGCTGGTCATGGACCGCTTTGCTAGTACCTTCGCTCGCATCCACCACTCTCTGGCTTGAAGTGGGAAAGCCTCTTCGCCCAGTTGTGGCTGTGTGGAGTTGGGCCTATGTCTTGTGCTTCCTGGGTGGCATGGACTACATGGGCGCTTACATCAGCATGCTGGCTGAAGTCAGCAAGGATATGGTGCCCTTCATGGTGGTCCTCGTAGTTGTGCTGTTGGCAATGGCCCACGCTTTCAGGCTTACAGGCTCGGATGGAGATTTGCTGGCGTGGGTTCAGATTGTTTACCGCATGGGCCTCCTCGGCGACTTCGAGACCAGCGACCTTGAAGCAGACGGATGCTCGAAAGCCATTTGATGCTATACTCCATCTTCCTGCTCACGACGTTCATAGTCACCATTGCCATGCCGAACTTGCTAGTTGCAGTCATCAGTGACACGTATGCGCGAGTGAGCGAAACAATGGCAGCGACATTGGCACAGGCTCGTGCCAGAAGGATTGTGGAGCTGGAGACAACCTACGGCTTTCTAAGGCCGACGATGGATTCGTCCAGGGAGTTCTTGATGTGGCTGAATCCAGATGCGCAGACAGATGCCAAGGAAACTTGGCAGGGGCAGGCCCAGCTGGCTGACCTGACTTCTCGCATGCAAGCCCTGATCGAGCAGTCGTCAAACGACATGCTTGAAAATTTGAATTCGACTATAGGGCGAGAAGCTGCATCTACAAACTCCAGGTTGGAGGGTGTGGAAGCCCAAGTGGAACAATCCTTGAGCATGTTAAAGCGCCTGGTCTCATCTCAGGAACTGACGGAATCCTTGGGCCTGCTGCGGCGCATAAACTCATCTCTATCTCAGTATGGCTCGGAATCCAGCCTGTGA